AACGTGATACGTATCACGTTTTAACAAGATACGTATCACGTTTTAACAAGATACGTATCACGTTTTAACAAGATACGCATCACGTTTTAACAAGATACGTATCACGTTATAACGTGATAGCGCTCGGATTTTTTTTTTCCTGCCTGATAGCAACACGCTTCCGTAAAACCAAATAAATCCAACTCTATAAAGAATAAATCTGCAAGGTGACAATAAACAGACGTTTCCATTAAAAAGAAAAGGATTTGAAAGCAAAGCAGTAAAGAAGAATAAAAAATATGCTGTAGACCTTTCTGTTTTCATCTGTTTTTAGTTATTTCTGACATCACAAATCCCTTTTATAAACAATGTCAACTTAACTTTTTTATTTAATCTTTTTTTTTCCTTATGAAGGTTTGCATTTGTCTTGATTTTCAGTGTAAAGAAAAACTGGTACCACTTTACAATAAGGCTCCCTTTATAGATGGCTTATGAATAGTTTAAAGACAGGTTATGGATTCATCTGTAAACACTTTATAAATCATTAGAAAATGTTTATTATGGATTAATTAAKGACAGGAAAGAGACAAAAATGTCAGTTTTCTCGCCAAATAGTGAGCCAAATCTGTTTGTGTACATATTACTAGGTTTATAAGCATAATTATGTAAAGAAACACATATTTAACTATATTACTTATACATATTAACAACTGTCAAAGGGAGCCTTATTGCAAAATGTAAAACAGTACACTATTTATGAGGCTCTGTTTTGACATTATTATTATTATTATACTGTTCAACACTTTACAATAAGGCTCACTTTGATTACTGTGGATATGTATAATGCAGTAATACAGTACAATATTATATGTAAAATATGTGTTCAATAAATTACTGTGCTTACAAGGTAGTAAACTAGTCTGTAATGTTTAATAAGTACCTTTAGATGTGATAAATACATGAACATATTTGGCTCACTATTTAGCAAGAAATTGGACAGTTTTGTCTCTTTCCCATCCTTAATTAATGAATAATAAACACTTAATAATGATTTATAAAGTGTTTACATATGATGTAATAACCTATCTATAAACTATTTTTAAGCCATATATAAGGGGAGCCTTATTGTAAAGTGGTACTGAAAAACTTTATGTTGTCACTTAAACATTGATTAAAAAATAAAGAGTTCTGGACCTTTTTGTCCTTTTATATGAAGTATATGTTTCATGTTTTTGTGCAGATTTTTCAGTTAAATTCTGACAGGAGAGAAAACACAAGAAGAAATCCGTCGTATCTTATTGTTTCTGAATAAACAAGCTCACCGGGGACTTCTGATCCCCTCGGTTCCTGCTCTGCAGGTAGACCTGGGGGAGTCTCCCACACAGCGAACACCAGATACAGGCTCTCTTTTTTTAGGCTGTTGCCATGGTAACCTGCGGATGCAGCTGCTTGTTGGTTTGTCAGCTGTCCTTATTATGCATTTTTCCTGACCTCCACTCCCACCGACAACATCCACTTGTTCCTGTTTTTAGCTGCGAGTAAGTAACCCCCCAACATCCGTGTCACATCTGAAGAAGGCTTTCCTCTTCAGATCAGAACCCTGAGGGGAGAAGTCTGCATCCGTCAGGATCTCAAGTGGACTTCACTGGTCACAGCGTGTTGACGGGCTCTGAATGATCTGAAACAGACCACCAGACACGGAGGGGGAGCTAATTAGTGTTGTGAACCTGAGGAGCCGCTGCTCGTCTGTCAAACTGAAAAAATATCTGAATAAAACAAGTTAAACTGAAGAAAATGTTACTTAATAAATAGTGGGGTTTTTTTTTGTGTGCCTTGTTTCAGTTGGACGCTGATCGAGACGAAGAGGAGGTTTTCACTGACATCGGCCTGACGTTGGACAACAAGCTGTTTCCCTCCAAAGAACCGGCCGCCGGTAAGATCAGCTCAGAAACGGTGAAACACCTGAAGAAACACTGTGTCCAAAATGACAGGCCGGGTCCTCCGGAGGACCC